GAAGAGCGATGTGGAACGGCTTCTTGGGGGCTGTCTGCTGTCCAGGGGCTGAGCGGGAGGGGGAACAGAGAAGGCAAGCAGAGCCACCATGGGGACACTCACAGAGGCCGTGATGGGGGTGGGCAACCCCGGACCCGCCCCTGCATCTCACACCCCCTCCTCTGTCACACAGGTCAGCCCACGTCTGCGCCCTCGGTCACTCTGTTCGCGCCCTCCACTGAGGAGCTCAAGGCCAACAAGGCCACCCTGGTGTGTCTCATCAATGACTTCTACCCGGGCAGCGTGAAGGTGGCCTGGAAGGCAGGCAGCACCACCATCACCAGGGGCGTGGAGACCAGCCAGCCCTCGAAACAGAGCAACAGCAAGTACGCGGCCAGCAGCTACCTGGCCCTGACGGCCGGCGAGTGGAAATCTTACGACAGGGTCAGCTGCCAGGTCACGCACGAGGGGAGCACTGTGGAGAAGACAGTGGCGTCCTCAGGGTGCCCTTAGATCCCTGGACCCCCCACCCTCCGGGGCCTGGAGCCACGGGTCCCCTGGGTGGGTCTCCCCTCCCATCCTGGTCCCCCCAGCCCTTCCTCCTGCATCCAATCAACTCTCAATAGAATGTTTTCATCATTATTCAGAAATCTCTGCTCATTTCTTTTTTCTTTTTTTTTTTTGGCCATATGCGGGCCTCTCACTGTTGTGGCCTCTCTTGTTGCGGAGCACAGGCTCCGGACGCGCAGGCTCAGCGGCCATGGCTCACGTGCCCAGCCGCTCTGCGGCATGTGGGATCTTCCCGGACCAGGGCACGAACCCGTGTCCCCTGCATCAGCAGGCGGACTCTCAACCACTGCGCCACCAGGGAAGCCCTCTGCTCATTTCTTTTTTTTTTGTCTCGTGTTTAATTTGCACCCTCTCCAGAATTCTGGGGGTGGGGTGGGGAATCCTAGGCGCCAGTGAGAAAGTAACTAAAGGGAGAGGCTCACAGTGTCCCGGGTGGGGGCATCTCCCAGGCAACCAGCCAGGACACATCACCCATCCGCCCTCTCCTTCCCACTCCTCCTCCAGCACAAGGCCGTGCCCACCCCCTGCCACCTTCCTGGCCGGAGCTGCCCATGGCTGGTGACCTCCAGATGAGCCCTCCCTCCCTGCCCTGGTGGGGACCCTCCACACCTCCCTGCCCCCGGCTTGTCCTTTCTTTCCAGTATGGCTGTTAGCATAACTGACTCGGGAACCTTCGCCCACGTTCCTCTCCCTCTGTGTGCTGCCTGGTCCCCGGGCTGGGCCACTCCTGGGGGCCTCCCAGCCCAGGCTCCGCCTCCTTCCTCCCTGGCCTCCTGCGGCCCCTTCTCCTCCTGGGCTCATGGGGAGGGGACTTTGACCTTAGCTTCTGCTCTGGGGCGCTGCTTCCCTCCGGCTCCAGCTAAACGCTTTCCAGGCCTTACCTGTCAGTCATCAAACCACCTGGAGAGTTCTGAGCCCACCTGGACCCAGGTCCCTGGCCCTGGGACCCATGGCCTAAGGCGACAGAGTTGTTAGGGTCAAAGAGGGACCGTGGGGGACGGGGGGGCCTTGGGATGGAGGGGTGGCTTCCTCATGCCCTTCCCCTCCTCTGGGTCAGGGCACTGGGGGAGGGGCCGAGAGAGGGTGTCCTCTTGGAGGCCCCGCCTCGGTCCTGGTTCCTGGAGGCGAGGGCTCACTGTGCGGCACCGAGCACTTCTCGAGGTTCATCACAGCCCCTCGGGGAGCCCCGAAGTCCCCATCACGGCTGCCATTGCCCGCTTCACAGAGGCGACACTGACCATGAGGGATGCACCGGGCCTGCCCTGGTCAGCTCCGAGCCAGGACAGCCCCTGCGGACTGGTGGCCCCAGGGCACTGGGTAGCAGAGGGATGGGGGCATGTTGGGCAGACCCCTGGTCTAATAGAAAAGAGTGTCAGGTCAGGGGAGGGGCCTTGTCCTGGCCCTGCCCTGCCTGCTGTGCAACCCTGGGCAGCGCTCTCCATCCGGGGCTTCCTTGTGGGAGGCCAGGGCTGGGGGAGGTGACTGATGGGGGAGGGGGATTGTGGCTTCCTTCACAACAGAGCCCGGAATAGCCTTGGGCAGGGAGGGCAGAGGGGTCCTGGGGGAGGGGAGGGGAGGTGACTGCTGGGGCCCTGGGGGAGGGGAGAGGAGGTGACAGGCAAGAATCAGGGAGGCTGTCAGGGGCAACCAGGACAGAGGCCAGGGGAGGGGCTGGGTCATCAGACACCCTCTGTTCACTCCGGGGACAGAGTAGCTAACGGTCAGCACGACTCACCAGGGCACCGCAATGCGTGTGTTTCCACACGGGTCAGGGTGACACTCTCTTCCTGTGGCCACTCAACCCCCCGGGTCCCTTCTGCTCCTCAGCACCTGGCCTGGGGACATGTCACGACAGGGCTGGTGTCCACTGAGCATTCTCTGTGCCCAGGCTGTGCTGGGCACCAAAGTCTGGATCCCCCTCCACTCCTCACCAGGATGGGCAATCCCTGCCCACCCAGGGCCCGGCCTCCTGGGGACATGCTGGGGCCTCCAGATTGTGCCGGGAGGAGGGAGGAAGCCTCGGCCAGACCCCAAACAGGCGCCCTAAGGAGGACGGAAAGACTGCTGTGGGCCAGCCGAGAGCAGCTCTCCGAGGGAAGGGGGGACCCCAGAGCAGCCTGGTGAGCCCACCCGCAAGGTCTCTGGTCACACACAGCCTCCAGCTCAGCGCTAGTGTGCACCACGGCCCTGCGTGGATGAGACCCGCTGCGGTCACTGCCCGGGGCAAAGCCACCACTCAGCAGCCCTTTCCTGAGCACCTACCATGTGTGGGGACCTCGGCGGTGGCAACGCAGCTCTGCTGGGGCTCCTGTGGGCACAGGGAAGCAGCCTATAGAGAGGGAGTGGTTGTCGTGCAGGACGGGCTCATGCCTTGGAGAAATCAACCAGGGTGAGGGCTGAGGGTGCCCGACTGGGCCTCACAGGGGGCCACAGCTGAGCCTGGAGGTGGCCAGGGGGCAGGACAGCCCCGACTCTGGGTTGGTGGCTTGGGGCCTGTGTCCCCTCCATGCAGCCGGGCTGGTGATAGTGGAAACTTGCTCCCTTGGGTCCAGGAGGGATGGTCAGATGGAAAATGGATGTTTGCTGGTCTCTGAGGTTGACTGTTGCTGCCATTAGCATCGGCCTGTTCGGGCCCAGCCGGCCTCAGGCCAGCACCCCTGGGCTCCCCATGGGTCCCACCCTCACCCCCGCGCAGCTGGCCTGGTGAAACCAAGAGGCCCTGACGCCCGAAATAGCCAGGAAATGCCGACTGGCTCAGCCCAGGGAAGCAGGTGCCTCCCTCTCCCCAGGCTGCGGGGAGGAGTGGCTCCAGTTCTAGAAGCTTCCACCAGCTCCCTTGGAGCACCCAGGCCGCCTAAGCCCCTGCGCCCAGGCCTGAGCCGGGCAGAGATCACGTCAATCAACCGTGGGGCATCAACAGAAGGGGCATCTTCTGTTCCAGAATCTTGTGTCTGTGCAGGTCGTACCCCGCTCCTCGGGGTCCCCAGGGACCTCTCTAAACGCCGGGCACGCAGCTGCGGCTGACGTGGGACACAGCCAGACGCTCGGGGCTCAGAGGAGCCCGGGGGGCAGGGCTGGCCAGGGCTGGACATGGGGCACTGCAGTCACACCTTCCCTGCTGTCCCCACACCTAGGAGTCTTCTTGGGCAGGGACTGGGCCAAGGACGGGGAAGGGAGAGAAATGGGGACCCTCACAATCACTGCACTGGGAGCCCTGGGTCTGGGGTAATAATGAGGAGCCCAGAGCACAGATGTCCCCCAAGAGGCCTCATGCGGTCCTTCCCCAATGAACAGGACCTCAGATTTGTCAGTCACTCATCCATCTGTCTGTCCATCTATCTGTCCATCTCTCTGTCCACCCATCCATCCACCCATCCATCCATCTACCCATCATCCATCAGTCCATCCATCCAAAAAGCCTCCCTCGGGCCTCCTGGGGGCCTGGCCTGTGTGGGGCTCTCAGCTACTCATGTCCCAGGCAAGGCAGGACTGGCCCAGTCAAGGCCAAAGTCAGACCTGGAACGTGCCTGCTTCACCATGGAAGGAGGGGCCTTTGGACACTAGGTGCCCTGTTCCCTGCCCCGTCTGCCCTGTGCTTGGTCGATACGCTGAGGTCAAAGAGAGGGCAAGAGGTGTGACAGGTGGGCCAGCGTGGTGAGGCCAGCTGCCTCCTGCCCTGTGGGCGAACTGACCCCCCACCCCACCCCCACCCACAGTTACAGGCCTCCCCGACCTTCCCTCCAGGCGACGCTCGCGCTCTCTCCTCCCGGCCCCGTCCTTCTCCAGTCAGAGCCGCCAGGACATTCCAGGGCTCCACGGTCCTGCCGGGAGTGGAGATGGGGGACAAGCACCCAGCCACAGTCTCCTGAGTTCACCCCCAAAGACAGCAAATCACTTCCACAGGGTTGATTCCACCAGCTCGTTCTCAGGGGACACTGCCAGTAAGTCCCCCAGCCCAGGGAAGCCGGGAACCAGGCCACAGGCCACAGCCATAGCGTCGCATCACCTGACACATGAGACGTGCAGTACCCGGGGGACGAATGCCCCCACCCGAGAGCCTGGGGGAGTATGGCCCTCACCCCAGCACTGATCAGTCAGCTCATCAGCCAGTGTTCTCTCCCATCGCCCCTCACCGCCCCTGTGGGCCCAGGTCGCGTCCTGGAGGTGAAGCTAAGATAGGGAAACTCGCCCCTGCCCAGCCCAGAGCCCAGGGTGCCGAGAGATCCTCCCCCACCAGTAAACATTAGCGGGGAAGACAAGGACGGCAGATCCTGGGGTCCTGGGGGGGTCAGCCAAGGGGAGCAGCAGCAACTTCAGCCACCTCAAAACAGGGCCTGGGAGCTGGACCCCCAGGGCTGAGGGGCAGAGGGAGGAAGGGCCTCCCGGGGGGTCAGCATGAGCAAAGGCACAGAGCGGGGGGGCCGCAGCAGCCCGCGGCTGGCGCACACAGGCCCCCAGTGAAGCACCCTGACCCCTCCACCTCGGCGACTCCAGACTCCTGTCTCCCGCACCGCCTGGCCCACCACCCTGCTCACCGCCCAGCAATCCCTTGCATTCGATGCCACATGGCGGGGCCCTGCCCTGGGGAGGAAGAGGAATCAGACGCAGACTGGACGCCGGGCAGAGAGGGACGAGCAGAGGGTGCCGGGAGCAGGCCCAGGGAGGGACCGGGGGGTGGTGGGCCAGGAGTTCTCTGGGGGGACGGTTCTCTGTGCCGCACACAGTGAGGCCGGCTGGTGGGCCAGAGTGTCCCGAGCCCTGGAGCCCAGGAGCGGGACAGGGACGGGGCTCAGAAGAGGTGAGGCCAGGGGGCAGAGGCCCTGAAGGCCTCAGTCCTGACCAGATCTGAGAATCCAAAAGGCAGCTGCGCCCTGAGGCTACTGAGTGGCCTACTGTCCCGAACCATTTACGAAACACGCAACACGAGTTACCCAGTTGAGCCA